AGATTTAACAGATTTACGGATAGGTTTACAGACGTCAACGTCCTTTAGTTCTGCACTTCTCACTTTTCACTGTTGGCAGTCCTGCGGAACTCTCTTACGGTCATGGCCTTCCTCTGAATGTTGTACTGGGTGAAAAGGCCCGACTGGCCTGTCACCACCTGCTGAATGGGCGCAGGTATTACCAAATCATCGATATCATCATAGGACCCTCTAGGCTTCCAGTCCTTTGGTGGGACAATCTTGGAGGAGAAGAGTGGACAGTGAGTTGTACAGTACATTTTGTTACCAAAATTATTCACCAGCAAAGCATTGGAGATGTGAATGATAGATAGATAGATAGATAGTAGATAGATAGATTAGATAAGATAGATACGATAGATAGATACTTTATTCATCCCCAAGGGGAAATTCATAAATGTATTTATTTTTCCGACAGTCTGGTGTAAACATGCTTGCAACATATATAGTGATGGACATTAAACAACAGCTGTTTGTCTAAATAATAAAAAGTAACTGCTAGATTTTAATTTTACCATTTTTTGTTGCCAATAAATATGATCCCATAAACACTAAAATGGCTATAAATACGGTCCGTGGGAACACTTGAAATGTATGTGTATCTGTACTTACTTTAGCCAGGCCTGCTTTGTGTGCTCCCTGAGACTCTACGTATGCAATGTAGCGGCTGAAGTCCTTGAATTCCTCAGCAGTGGGGTAAAAAGTCATGATCCCCTTGGAACCATGGTTTTGGGAAACCACATCTGACGCCATCCCAAAACTCAGTGGCAACTCCTGTAGATTGTAAATGGGAAAATTTTAATTTCATGATGTGACATTTTGATTCAGTATAGCTTCATATCAACTTTTCATTTAATCGTTTCCTTACCACAGCCAGGCACCTTGTTTGGCCTGCCTCCCTATAGCTTGACTGAATAATTGCAAATAAATATCAACAGCTAAAGAATTTAAGTAATATTTTGAAGTAGTAGGGCTGCACAATGAATCGCATCGTCCTTGATTCAAATCGTAATGTGACCAAGTGCAATATTCAAATCGCAATAGCTGCAGTGTTTTGATGTAAGGTAAAATGTGTGACAAACAGCATTAAAATGAAGGACTGCAGTTCTGAAGAGACACTCTGGTTTGTTGGGTATGATTTAAAGTTATTGTTTGAGTAAAAAATGCAAAAATGATTATTCCCACACTAATTATGAATCATAATGCAATATCTGTCAAAATAATCACAATATGATGACTTTACCATATCGTGCAGAACAGAAGTACCAATGATAGTATAACATTTTGTTTTATCATATTTTGGCATTTATTTTTGAGGACTTGGGCACTGACATGTCATCATTTCAACTGATGTGAACCTGAGGGGGTGACTACTCAACAGATCATTATCTTTCATTCTTCACATTGCAAATGAGATTACTCCTATTTTAAACTCTTAATATCCCAGAAGAATAGTAGAGAAAGCAAAACGTTCCTTAAAAATGTCTAGTTGTATGTCATTATTATATATATGTAGGTATATATATATATATATATATATGAGTGTTTATGTCTCCTCAGTATGGACAGGGCTGGGAAAAGCTATAGCCGCCCCTGATTGGTTGAGCCCGCGTCTCTTTAATTCTAACTGTCCAAACCCAGCCAGCTAACATTAGCTCATCTGCAAAAGAAACATGAGCTAATTCATTCAACGAATATGCAGTGACACACAGCACAGCACAGCACAGCATTACCTAGTCTGATAGCACAGATGTTTCAACTGGTATTTAGAAGTGAACTTGCCATCTTGTTTTCATGGTGTCCCAAAGGAGAAAGTCATAATCACAGAACAGCTAACGTTAACACCATGGTGGGATGGGACTATTCACTGGGCACAGACACCAGCAGAGCTCGGTTGCATCCTGTGCGCTTCATTCGTGTAATGAGCCGTTAGCAAAGTTGGACGAAGCCATAGCTTGAACGATCTCACAATCTTGGTAAATTATAAAGCAAGAGCACGCTTATTCTAAAAAGCGTCGTTCAACAATTGTTTGAGTTAAGTTTTACAGACAACATAAAACACTGAAACTATCATTCGCCAAGTCAGTGATATGTATTCCAGGAAATAGACTACCCCCGGCGCCTAGCATCTCCGTTAGCTGTGGTACAGTTCCGGCTCGTTTAGCTTCAGGTTAGCACTGTGAGTTCAGGAGCTAACTCGACATGCAAATACTTACAGCCTCCTCTCGGTTGATTCAGTCGTTGTTCCTTTGCGTTGTAAATACCTCGTAATCAATAATAACAGTAGTTTAGAACAGAAGAGAAAGAAGACAGCTTGCTAACTTAGCCCCCTGTGAGTAGATCACCGTCCTCCATTACCACTTCTACGCATGCACACGCACATCAGATTTTGTTTACCACAACACGCATGAGGCACGCTCAGCCAATCAGAGGGCGGATCTGGTGGGTCGTCATATGATGGCTGAAAACACGAGTTTAAATCTCATGTTCTTGTAAGTATTAACTTTATTGAAGATATATTGTCATTGGCACTTTGTGAGAGAGCGGGTTTCCAATATTAATAAAATTGTATGGCCAAACAAATGTCCCCGCAATTTAGAATTGATTGTTGGTTGATTAGATTAATGTTAATATTCCTATTTAATCATATATTCTTACTGATCACCAGGTAATCTGTTTATTATTGAATTTTAGTGTCTCTGGAAGACTGCTATGATGACAGGCTAAGAAATTGCATTTATTTAATATAATTAGGAATGATAATGGGATTATACTAATGTGGCTGTAACCTGCATCGAGCCATAACACTTATTCCTACAGCTTCAGTCCTTGTGTAATAATCACAGTAAATAAATAACCTTTTTTCTAAAAATGCCTTAGTGATTTTTTCAAAACTTGTATCTATTCTGACACGATCGTAAAACTGTTACTCACGAACAAACATAGACTACATTACTGCAAACAAACAAACAAGCAAAATCACCTGTAGACTGTGAATTTTATTTCATGCCAGGAAAGGCACGTTCATACACTGAATCCATTTGATAGGCTATATAATGTTATATGCATCTACATTTAGGCAGTGCATATATTATGATTCCCATGAATAAATGCAACAATAACATTAACACATTTTGTTAACCACAAAAAGATATAGCACATATGAGCACTGACAATTTGTATATGCACACTTTTAGCATAAGAGGAAGTACATGTGCACCCTGTAGTCCATACAGTTTTACTGACCTTTTACACCAAAGGAGACATACAGTACATTGCATCAGCAGCACTTGTTGGTTTTTGGAAAGTCCATAGAGAATATATAATGTTTTTGAGGTGTCAGTGCCAGGTCAGTTCATTTCCACTCAGTTTCTCTCTATGTTGTTCCAGTTGCATAAGACTAGTCATGTTGCATCCGCATTCTGTCAAATGCATATATAACAGACCAGCATGGTCAGTACAAATTCCCCTCTTTTTAGGGGACTTTCTCCTTTGGCTGACTCATGTTTTGGACAAGCTTTGGACACTCAAATCCACCAATTTACACCTTCTGCCACTCAAAACAGTATAAACTATCCAGTCAGCAGATGAGCACTGTCAGGGAGTATATTTGACTGTGCTTTTACTCGCACTTTACTGTCCCACTATGAGACAAAGCAGCATGAATTCACGTCTTTCAATGAGCATAATGTTTAGCTCATTCTCTCAGACAATGTTAGATAAATAGGGTGGACTGGAGAGTAGTAGGGGACACATACTCTTGTTTTGCATTTATCAGCTTATAGACACAACAGCTTAAAGCGGTCAATACAACCACAATTTGTTATGGCAGTTGCTGTTATTTCAGAATAAAGGCAAAATAATACTTAAAACACATAAAAGGAACACTTATTTGAACTGGGACTTTTTCAATATGAGAATATATTGCAACTGTCTGAAACAACCCCTTACACCTTCTCATATTCTGAAGTCATGCAGGGCCTCGGTACTTTGTATCCTTAGGATATTATATACTATTGAAGAGAAGGCTGCTAGAATAAAGGAGGACAACCTTTTGGCATGTTTGTATACATCTGTTTTTGCAACCGGTTCAGAAACATCTCTCACTGAATATTAGTTAATTTTCATGCAACTATAAATTGGTTACATTGTGCTTAACATAGACACACATAGCTTTCTGGATTTAGACTTTATATTAGAGTTCAATATATGTAAAATAAATTGCTGTAATTTGGAAACAGATGAGCCAATTGTGTTGAGGAAAGCTGTGATTGTGAGTCTTCATGTTTAAGATGGTTTACACTGCATATTGTATGGATGTGGTTAATAGGTGGCTGGATTGCAAGTGATTGATTATTTTTTGTGTTTCTCACATTATGTGTGGCATAATGTAATTTATGTGGTGCAATTATTAATTACATTTGCATCGGTATATATGTAATGTTTTTAACCCATTTCCCACTGCCCAGACAGTATTTGATAATAAACTAATATTATCAACACTTGAGTTTTATTATAAGATGTGTAATTTCTCAATTCACTACACATCCCTTTGCCAGTTTCCAACTGAAAGCATATGTAAGACCGTTTTGTAAAGTTAGAACAGAAGCTCTGCAGTACTTTACAGAATATTTAAGATTAAGGTGAGAATATTCACACACCATTTCATGGATTTTATGCTTCTTGCATCTTGCAGTAGTCAGTTCTTCACCCGAAACATTTCATACACAAATCATGAATGGGCATAGTCCTTTTGATCTCCAGGTGTCGGTACGAACATGACGTAATGGAGCACAAACTGGTATCAAAAAGCGAAGCAAAAACTGACTGTGTATTTGCATCCATTCCTCTCATTTTTATGTCAATTCCATCGTCCTCTTGTTGGCACCATGCCTAAGTCCTGCTTTATCTTTGAGCACCAGTGGCCATCCGCATCCTTAAGATGTGGCCCTGTTTATAACAGCTCTCAGCCTGGGAGCAGCCTTGAAGAACACATGCCAAAAAAGGCCCTCTGCTTGGTTCTGTGATAAAACTATACTCCTTGTTGGTTATTTGTCCATAGGCTTATTGATTTTCAGTGTGTGCAGAGTGTCACTGAGAGCGACAGTCTTCTCTGTGTCTGTCTTGTTGCTGTCTTTTTTGGACATGTCAGGCTCCCATAGAAAGAACTCGTGGAGAAGGGTGTTGACGGTGTCAGGACACTCCATCATGACCATGTGACTTCCCTCCTCAATGACTTTTAGGAATGCAAATAGGAGGATCTAGAAAGGGAGCCAAAAAATGAATGCAGAACATTATAATGGATAACACTACAGCAAAAACGCAACATTTCATATTAAATATCAAATAATAAATCATCACTCATTCACATGTGTACTATACCTCTGCCATGCGCTGGTCCTCATCCATGGGCACAAACTTGTCACACATGCCATGAACCAAAAGGATGGGCACAGTGAGCTCGGCATGGTAGACCTCGTCCCCCTCAGGCCAGTACTGACCACTCATCATGGCTCGCAGGACAAACGGAGACACGTTGAAGGCATTGCCCTGCTTTAACAACTGCTTTTCTTTGGCACCCTGACGGGCAAATCCAGCTCTGTAGGTTAGAAAAGGGGGGGTGTTACTTCAGTATTTATTAGTTTATTTAAGGTTTTAAGGTTACCATCTTTCAAATGTTTTGACATCAACAAGCCATGCTGTTTACTCAAAGATGAGAGGTTACTGTAGTGCGTCACTGTCTCTAGTGTCAATTTGGGCCCCACACAAATGCAGATCTTACTTGAGGAAGCTCCAGGCCAGACAGGGTGACAGACAGTGCAGGACACAAGATGGCAGCTGGAAGATGGAGCATAGGCTGGGCTCCAGAGCTGTGGGACCCCCTCCATTGATCATCACCACCTTATGGACCAGGTCAGGATATTCGTGAGCCAGGAAGGTGCAAAATGACACTCTGGAAGAGATATAATGAGATGGATACAGCATGTTAACGTGTGTTAATCACTCCTAGAAAAGGAACTTTGATCAGCTGTAAAACTGCTTCAGAGACACTTCCAACAGTGAATGATTTATAACAAAAGCATCTCACAAATCCTCACCCATATGAATGGCCAATGAGAATGTTGCGTTTACGAGCATATCTCTTAAAGATGGCACGAAGGTCCTCTGCAAGGGCATAAAAGGTATACGCTGCTGCAATCTGTGGGGCAGTGCTGGCGCCATGCCCCGCCAGGTCAGGCGCAATGACCTCATAGCCCAGTCGAGAGAAGAAGTCCAGCTGGCTGCTCCAAATGTCCAGAGAACCTCCCACACCATGCACGAAAAACAGCGCTACATCCGAATGCGTCCCTTTGCAGCTTGAGATCACCCTCTTTGAGTCAATTAGAACCGTGCGCTTGGGCTTGCGGCGGCGGCGACGAGGAGGTGGAGCAGGTTTCTGTTCCCCAAGGGGTGAAGCAACTGGAGGAGGAATGGGGTTGGGGTCTGGAGAGGAGGGCATTTCTTTGTAGTCAGCCAGCTCCACTTCTACAGTGCTACAAGGCTCCAGATCCCCATCCTGACACTGCAGTATCTCAGAGTGCAAAACATCACCGAGATTCTCAATCACCAGCTGGCCATTGCGGTAGACGGTGATCTTCCTCTTACAGTGGACACTGCTGCCTGTATTGCTCTCATTATTCAGATCCTCAGGAGAACTGTCATCATTACAGTCGCTGTCCGTCTTTTCCTTGCCTGCAATTTGCTCTTCCGTTACTACAGGCTGACGCTCTGGGATGATGTGTCGCACTCGCAGGACTCTCCCAGGTTTCACCTCCACAAACTCAAAACCATCAGAGGGTTCTGATGACTCAAGGGGTAAGACCAGACTGGCAGCCTTCCCAGTCAGGCAGCACAGTATGCCTTCAGTGATACTGGTCAGCATGGTGCTTCCCTGCATAAACAACATCACACAAAACATCACTCAGCTGCTTAATTTGAAATATAACAAAAAAAACATATTACATATGTTAAAAAGGAAACATAGATCATGTATGAACATAGAGGTGGTTTGTGACACTTATTAACCTTCTACGACTAGCTTTTCACATACACATTATAGATGGTTCCAAGTTTATTTCCTGTTGCAGTGTTTGCAAATTTCAACAGCTCAACAGGACGAAATTGGGTCTTGGTTCCTATAAAACTGAACTCAAGGTGTTACCTAGCAACGCAGTTACAATGCAATGGTCTTCTTTATCCTCAGCCACTGTCGAGTGAAATGAAAACACCCCAAAAGCGAAGATGCTTTTTAGTTTAACAGGCTCCAAGTCGTTATGCAAATTCAAATACCACAGCCAGTGGAAGTGCAGCCTTTGTGAAGCTCTTCTAACACACTCACCTGGTTGACAAAGCAGCTTAACATTCAGGAGTTCCAAGTTCACAAACAGACAACATAAAAACAATACTGGTGCTCTACTACAGTTTCAATGTCAATGAGGACTGACTATTCACACCAACCTAGACGTCTGCTATTAATAACCCCTCCTTTTCACATGGTCAGAATCAGGATATATATATAAATAGACGCCACTCATAGGGCATGACTATGTACATGCCTGCAAGCTGTATGTCTCATAACAGTATGATAGCAGCGTTTCAAGCTATACTGTTTCCATTTGAGATGTGGGAAAAAACATCTATGTGTCCCTGCCCAGGTCCTAAAGCCAAAATGTGCAAATACAGAATCATTAGTCCTCATTTTTCCTACAAACCCAGGCTGGTTATCTCTAGGAAACAGAGTGGGAAGAGTCACATCTACATGGTAAGCCTTACTGTTTCCTGGTTACAGAAACTGTGAAACAGAGTGCAGGGTGCACATTACTGCCTACAAGGCAGATTTTACATTACTGCACATGGCATATCATGTAACACGTAGTTTAGATCATGGTTGTGTTTCATGCCTCCTGCTTAATATATATGTAATAAGAATGCATATGCGCTCTGCATCTTGAGATGTTGCTAATGATGATAAATTAAAAATGGTAAATTAACTACATAGGGTACATATACTGTAAATATACATAACTGACTAGTGGGGGTTCCTTTTTTATTGATTTTCTATGTCATGCTTCATATTTTTGTTAGTAAATATTGTCTCCAGATTAAAGTCATATCTCATTACTTCTAATTCAGATGCAGATTCTTATTCTATCACTATCACTGTAATAAATGCATAATAAACAGTGCATTTGTAATCCTTAAATCTAAAGTCAGCAAGGTTAAGGCTTTAACAATAGCTCTGTTAATGCACAATGCTTCAGAGGTCTGGCACCACAGTGAGGAGAAGCTGGTTTACCTACAGTAGTGCATGTCTGCATCTGCACAGAAGATTTCATGTGTACAAGTGTATTGTTGTTGTTGTTGTTAGTGGCATGATGGTCTGAAGGTCAGTGCATCAAGTGCTATCCAGTTTCACCCAGAAGCCAAGTGAATGTTGACTAGAGGCCTATCTTGCATAAACATCAAAATGGAGCGTCGACACAATAAACAGATAGTCTAATCTGCAGCTCTGCTGTCTTAAATACTGCAGTGAGCTTCATTTTATTCTCATTCTCTCGAATGTGTTTTATCTTTCAGCCAACATCAATTCTCCAGTCTATCTATCTATCTATCTATCTATCTATCTATCTATCTATCTATCTGTTATGGTTCTTCAGTTTTGAAGCAACTCTGTTGTTTTATTCTGAACCAACCAGTCACACCACATTAGAGCTACAAGTGTACACGATGAGGTAAAAGTGTCTACTAAGGAAAGTCCTGAGAGGTCGTCACTCTAGGGGACGTGAAGATGTTGACAGCATGGCAGGACATCAACTGACCTTGTTTAACAATTTGGATGACCTGGCATAGAGATGCTACCCCACACCTTATTAACACATCCTTCACAGCATCAGCACTGATGCAACAGCATCATTTAAATCAGGGATTCTCCTCCTGACCTACTATCCATCTTTCAGGATTTGAAGATTTGAATATGGCTGAGGAGAAGTGGACTGGAATCTGAAATCCACACACCCTCAAGTCAAACAGGCTGGAGGTTACTCAGTCATGTTATTTTTTTTTGTCTGCATTGCAGAATATATAGGTTGATATGTCTGCCAAGTCTTACAGTAACACACATTTGGTACACAGTGTGCTATGGTATTTCCACAACAACACTGTACAGTAGTCTGACGCAGTCGGACATGATATCTGCACATTAACTGCGTGTATTTGAGACCATTTTAACCTAATGTCGGTTAAAAAGGCCTAATGCACAAATGTTCAATAGCTAAGCTGTTTGTTCTTTGCCTATTAATGCAAAATACAAAGTCATAAACCGCAATAGTAGGCTCCATATTACAATCATTTGACATGAACCGTTAAGCCTCATGTTTCACAATAATACAAATGCACAGTGAAGGGCATATTTACAATGTAATACATGGCTTAATTAATAGCGTTGCATCAGAAATAAATAGATTAAAAATCCGTGACAGTCTAGTGAGGAAGGCCATAATAAGGCTACGCGTAAATGATTGAATAATCTATTATTCTTGCGCTGTCATAGGACAAATGCATGCAGTCATCGTGCAGCTGATTATTGATGCTGATTACTATGTGCTGCACAATAAACATGAGATGAGCTAATTAGACGATGCAATAAAAATCGATTCCTTACCTGCAGAATTACTGACGATTAAGGGTGAATAGATGTCTGCACCAACAAATGACAGTCAAGGGCCGACGAAGCTGAACTGAGGAAAACGTTGCATTAGGTGCAACAATTTGTCTACGCTTGGGATGCTGCAAAATAATAAAAGCTTCTTATTAGCCTTGTTAGACTGAAATCACAGAGCACGGTGGGGCTTGAATTGATGATAAAGCATGCATCCATAAAAGTGTGCCAATTGCATTTCAATAAGACACCCATTACGATGACAAACGGCAATGTTTTTTGTTTTTTTTCTCCCTCGGCATCTACTGCGCACTCAGACCAGACCCTACCCAGCCCTGCTGCTGCCCTTGTATCCGCAGCAGCACAGCACTCTTCGGGCATTTTCGCTCCTGAGTGGCAGTGAGGAGGGCGAATAGGACCGCGCAGCACTGAGGGGAGGCCAATGGGAGCAGCTTGTTTCCTTGTTGCCAAGGCTGACAGAAAAGCAAAACGCGTACGTGCGTGCGTGCGTGCGCGTCCGTGCGGTCAGGGAGAATTATTTAAAAGACAGTCATCTTATTATCCGAATTATCTAACACATGGCCATAATTAGGCCTGCGTGTATGATCCCATTTCAAACTCTGAACCTATATCACCTGAACTGCATCCTGATGAACTGACACCTGGAAACGTGTTATTGCAGTTTTTGCATCACTGAAGGTAAAACAAATATATACCTTTAAGTTTTAAGCAGTTGGGTTGAGATGTGCTGTCTGTCTCTGTTACCCTTAAACTCCCATCAACAAATTGGTACTACTGGGGCAGTCCGGTGCCTGTCACCGAACAGCCTGTGACGGTTATGGGGCGGAGAGCCAACAGCTGTGTTGTGTGCTTTCTATTATTGTTTTGCAGCCGATGTAAATAACAATTACTGCTTTATGTTCATGCATGGCACAGCATTGGTGTTTTAATAATATGGTTACAAATCAATTAGGCTAATTAACAAGCATCCTTACTAAGGGCCAAACAACAGTCAAATGAAACTTCTACAGTATAAATGTTCTCAGTTGTTTTGATACAATGGAATTACAATCATTAGCCTAAACACTATATTGTCTCATGCCTCATCCTTTCATATAGCTACAATCTCATCACTGCTATATAGAATTCAAATTAGCCAACAAGTATTTTAAATATAGCCAGTGATGTGCTCATAAAACTCAACAAAACTCCAACATAACCTTTCCAATATTTCGGAGGACGGCAGGGGTATGAAAGGTTTTTTCCACAGTATGTTATTATGAGTAGTGTTTTAATGGCCACTGAGGTGGTGGAAATGATTATTGTTTTTCATTTATTTCTACAGTCCTAAATTACTTTAATTTGTAGTATTTAGACGTGTGCTGTAAATCATAATGCTATTTAATCTGGTACTGGTTTGCACTTCTGCTGTAAATGGTACACATTGGAAAAACATGTGGGAATTTACTTTTTGTAGAAACTTGTGTTTGTATGACATGAGTTCTGATGGAAACCCTTCAGCAGGCTTAAAAAAATGGACACTATTATTGGATGACTGTATGTAGGCCTACATTAAGTCTAAATTAGAAATAAGGAAACACAATTTTAGTAGACAATTTCTGACGACTTAAATAAGTATGGAAACAAAACCCCACCTTATATATGTTGTGTTTTGATTGGTAGGTCTATTTGTCTTTTCCAATGTAAATGTTAAGCACAGGAAAACTGTAAAATACTGTACTGTTAGTAATGAGAGTATAGGCTAAATGAGAGATGGTAAATTAATACTATCCTGATGCGTGTGTGTGGGTGTGTGCGAGTACTTAATGCCACCCCTGCATAATTTAGTGCCCCACTTGGGCTACCCCAGTCCAAAATGTCTGGATACGACACTGAGCAATGGTGCTGATTAATATATTTATACAATATTTGACATATCTGAGTGAGAGCCATTGCAGTTTAAATGAGGGGTTGTGCTGCACTGATTTATGATGACTGCACCTACAGTAATGTATTGAAAATCGTTAGAGTTTTGCAAAAAGATAAGATAGACTTTATTGATCCCACACTGGGGCAATTCACACATTACAGCAGCTACAGACAGCAGATAAGAAAAAAGAAATTTCACATTAAATAACAAAATAAAATAAATACACGATATAATGAAAATAGAAAACCCGAATTAGAGTTGTATGTGAATGAAAATCGTAACAGTGTTTCAAAACAGTTAAAAACCTTAAATGTTACTGTGAATGGGGAAACACTGCAAAATGACTGATACTCTAAACCCTGAGTAAAACCTCGTAGGCAGCGTACAACAACGCTGCTAACCTTGTTTGGTGTCTCCCGTCCGGCAGACACCAACCTCAAACCATGACCCTCACATGTAGACCCATTATCCTCGCCACTAAAGCGTTTCATTGGTCAAACACGGTGCTGTCGGTCGTTAAACCGCTGGAGAGTTTAACCTGAAAAGCGCTACTCAGGGCATACAGTAACATAATTCAGCAACAAGCCTTTCCATTGGCTGAAAGGTCTGAGCCAATCATTTGGCTCCATATTGGGACGGAAGCTGGCAGACCTGTGACATTCACTGTTCGCATGTCTTCGTTAACTACTTAAATATCTAAAAATGAACGTTATACTGTCGTCTTTTTCCCGACTGCGTGGAATAACCCATCTCACCAGGTAACAGAGGTCAGGTGTCTTCAAGACAGACAAACGGCAAAGTCAGCAGTGTCACATTGGCAGATAGCTTAGCAGTACGTTAGCAGCGTGGCTACTTAATGATGGGAGTTTTGTCGGATAATGGCTGATAGAGCTTAATGGTACCTAATCAAACCACAGTTCATAACGTAATATATGAACGACCGTACTGATGTACCTCTGTAGGCGGTGTTTGCTGTAGTAGTTACAGTATTACTAAAGCATTATGGGGTATGTTGTTCTGCACTACCATGTCATATTCACTGTGCAATCTATTGCCCATGTGCAACTTTCTTCTTTTTGCTGCTACTATTTGTATCTGTCGTTTGGATTCTTA